AAAACAAGCAAAACCGAAAAGAGAAAGCTAGAGAGAGGGTCAGAGGTCCCTAACCGAGCGTCCGGCGCTGCCCTAATCAGCAGAGCACCGGCAATCAGACCTTGGCCGTGACTTCCCCTCCTCGTTTTAGTCACACCGGTTGATTGCGAGCACTTGAAACCAAGGCTCCTCCTACCATTCAAGGAGCTTCCCGGTGAAGTGAAGGACATCAATTCAAAGAGAAGGTGTCGGAGCATCATTCTATAGCCGGCGTTCAGCTCGGAATTTCCTATTCAAGCTCCGAAGAAGAAGGTAAAAACGCTTGCTTATCACCCGCTGCCTATTTGTCAAAAGTTCAGAATGATGATCCGAGTTTTATTTAGGCTCCGTTCGTTTGGCGGAAAATATTCTCCTTTTGGAAAATATTTTCCCGGAAGTCATTTTCCTGGAAAATGTTTTCCCAGAACATAATTTTCCGGTGTTCGGCGATCAATATGAAAAAGTTTCGGCAAATAATTTTCACCGGCGGCGCCCGGCAGCGGCGGGTGACCGGCGGTGGCGGGCGATGGGCGACCGGCGGCGGCGGTGGCCGGCGACCGGCCGTGGCGGGCGGCCGGGCGACCGCCCGGCGGGCGGCCAGCCTACCGGCGGCGCGCGGGCGACCGGCGGCGGCGGCGGCCGGCCGGCGACGGCGGCGGCGGGCGACCGGGCGGCGCGGCGGGCGGCGGCGGCGGCGGCGGCGGGCGACCGGCCGTGGCGGGCAAGCGGCGGCCGGCGACCGGCCGTGGCGGGCAAGCGGCGGCAGCGACCGGCCGTGGCGGGCGGCGGCGACCGGCGGCGGCGAGCGGCCGCCGACCGGCGGCCAACGGTGGTGACTAGCAATCAACTTCCTCTCCCACGGAAAATATTTTCCCTTCTATGGGCAATTTTGCCTTCAATTTGAGGGAAAATGATTTCCTCTTTGTGAAAAGAGGAAATCATTTTCCGGAAAACAATGAAGGATTTGGGGGTGGGGAAGGAAAATGTTTTCCCATGGAAAACATTTTCCGCCCCCGAACACCGGAAAATGCGGAAAATATTTTTCGGAAAAATATTTTTCCGCAAACGAACACAGCCTTAGCGTGATCTTGAAATTCTGCTTATGATTTTGTGATTTGTGATGCCTTAAACATGATTCTAATAATTTACTTTGTCATTGTTCCATTTTGGATAGGTAAAATGAAAAATGCATTGAGTCGGCTCTAACAATCCCTTCGCTAAAGCTCCCAAAACCTTACGGGAGTGCTTCTCAACGACCAATGGCCATTACAAGTCAGTTTTTCTTACTCTCTGATTGATGTTTGATCACTAGAAACGGTTAGGGCGTTCTTGATTTGATGATTTGAATGTTAGATATGTTAGGTTGTGTTATGATTTTCATTGTTAAGTAGGAAAGTTTGAGCTCGAAAATCAACGGCTTAGGGATGTTAAATGGCAATCTAATGGGCATATATGTATAAAGGGTTATTCAGTGAAGGTTTTGGATCAGATAGAATGGTCGGAATGTGGCCGGAAGATCATTGGAGATTAGGTTAAAGTGGCTACCCCGGTAAGGTAAAACATGAAAAAACCAGAAATCCATGTCAAGTAAGGAAGTTTGAGCTTGAAAATCAATGGCTTAAGGATGTTAAATGGCAATAAAATTGGTATGGATGTATAGAGGGTCATTCGGTGAAAGATTAGGATTGGTTAGGTTGGACGGAATGTAGCCAGAAAGCCGTCGGAACGGCGGCCAAAGTGGCAGTCCCGAAATGATAAAACCTAAGTTTAGGCCCATCAAGTGTTTGAAGAAATGCCCATATGAAGAAGAATCAAAACGGTGCCGTTTTGGCACCGTGTTCGTCAGAACGCCGGATGGCGTCGGCCAAGCCGGTCTGACTTGGTCGGACCGGTCTGAATCGGTTCTGTCCGATTCACTTCCGGCGGGAAAATTAAAATTTTAAAAGAAATTCTAAAAAAAATCAGAAAAATTCTAAATAAATTCAGAAAAATCATAAAAAAAAAACATAAAAATAGAAATTTCAGAAAATCAGAGAAAATTCTCAGAAAATCCATAGAAATTAGGAAAAAAACAGAAAATTCATAAAAAAAATAAAAAATTCCAGAAAATTCATAAAAATTTTAAAAAATTCCAGAAAACTCACAAAAATTTGCAAAACCCCAAAATTCACAAAAAACAAAAAAAATTCATAACAATTTTCAGAAAAAAATAAAAATTTCGAGAAAGTAAAAATTCGCAGTAAACTTTTCCCAAAAAAAAATAAAAAATAAAAAATAAAAAATTCCAATAATTCACATAATGGCTTAGAATACTTGTGGCCATCCATATTAAGTGAAATTTGAATTTTTTGAGGTGCCCAAGTAGTATTTTTGAAGACTCCTGAGTTTAGGGATTAAAAGGGGTTTTAACCCTTAAAAAACCCTTAAAGGGGTTTAACCCCCAAAAGGGGTCTTTACTCCTAAAAAAACCCTAAAACCCTTAGATAACACAATCCTTTGAATGAATAAGCCTTTAGGGCTTTACTAAGGTTTGGGTGTTTTGATTGATTTTCATTTTAAAGACCATTTTAGGATTGCCGTGTTTGATTGAAATTGATTGCGCATTTCCTTATTAATTGTCTAATTTCTACCGATTAGAACCGTTAAAATTAGTGGATAGACATTGTGATCTCACGTGACACGTTAGACACTTCGTATTGTTTTATGTACCGAAAGGGCGTTAAGGATCTCGATTTAGGATCATTAGTGTAACCCAGTCCCTTTACCTGTGTAATCTCTAGTTTGCAGAAATCGTGGTATTTCTCCCATACCTCGATTAGATTTCTAGTCGATCAAAAAGGACTAGTGGCGACTCCAAAACAAAACTTAGGTTAAATAGAAAGATTAAAAATAAATAAATACCCGTTGTCTCGTGAAGTGTGGTCTGGGAGAGACCCTTGTTTGTCTAGTGATGAGATGTCTATGAGACGTTTGGGCGAAATATCCGTTCCGGACCTTAGTAGCTCATTCGGGGACAATTTCCTCAATCGTGACAAATGAAAGTACCTTCATAGGCTCGTGAAAACGCGGCGCGATACTGATTAGGAAAAATTTGAAGAACAAATAGATGCATTTGATAGAAATTCATTATCAACAGGAAAAAAAACTTTATTTATTTCCATTTCCAAAAACCGAACAAGGAAGAATTAATTCAGAAGATCAAATAAAAATTTTGAAAATTTTCTTCAATGTAGTTATACCTGAGCCCAAGATTAAAAGAATTAAAAAAAATATCTTTTGGAATAAAAGACATAAGTATGGTCACACAAATTAATCAACAATTTGGAACAACAAGAGGGAGAAAACGAAGAAAATGTGGCAGATGATCATCGGATTTGTTCCAGAAAAGCCAAACATGTAGTAATTTTGTCCGCTCTAATGGTAACCAAGAGTATTTCTTAATTTCTTTTTGTAAAAAAAATAATGCCTACAGTAAAATGACTAATCGGTTATTTCTTTCATCACTCCAAACATGCCAATATTAGCACCGATAGTACGTAAATGTAACTCGTTCAAACAACTATTCGGAGTTCTTAGAGCTCCTTGCAAGGCTTGTTGGAAAACCCGTTGTCATTTTTGTAATTCTCTAATTGTTCCAAGGTCTTATAAGTTGAATTAATCAAATTCAACTTTTCTTGTTCTATGTCAGATTATCCATTCACTAGAAACTATTCCACTTCCATTTCCACTTTCCATAAATGGGCCTGGGCTTTTTCTAGCTGCTCAATGGCCCCCTCACATAATTCTTCTGAATTTTGAATAGTACTCAAGATCTCTGTTTTCGATTATCTATTAAATTTCATTATCGTGCGTATCGTTCTCTTCTTCTTACTTCTTTTCTCTATGTATCGCTATTAGCCCTCGCAACATTTGTTGCCAACGACCATGAGGGTTACGGTTAAGGCTATCACTGCAATCCATGTCCATAGCACTGGCTGAGTTTCCAGAGCGCTTGGCCGTTCCACTAGATATGGAAAGGTTAGTTTGCTAGGAAGTTGAGAGCAACCTCGAGTTTTGGTAACTCCACAAAGACAATGTATCAAGGTTCGAACACTCCATTGACTTTTTTGTCCTAAAAAAATCTTGCAAACTCGGTCTCAACCTAATTAGGAGCGATGGACAATCAAACAACCATCCTTTACTCAATGTAACAATACGGGAAGGAAATAGAGTTCAAAAGGTAAGGGAGAAGAATCTACTTCAACCGATGTTCCCTTAGGCACAACTAGCATATACGTTTGGAATAGATTCAATTTTGAGAGAGTTGAAAAAGTACTGTCTCGTTGAAAGGTTCTATACATTTATCTTTTCTTAACGCATTACTTTAGACAAAGGCTCCTTTTTTCCTCTTTTTGGATGGTAAATATTTCTCAAAACGTGCTTCTTAATTGTAAAATGCTTGCACAAATAGCTAGAAGTTGGTTAGTTACCTCTCATTTTGTTCTAATTGCCATTTTCGGGAAAGGCTGACATAGACATGCCTAGTTGGCCTCTAGACCCATGGCCTTTATCTCTAGTCCAAGCTTCGTTTTCGACTTCAAAGTCATAAAACTCTTAAAAGAATATTACCATGGAGATTAGGGACGACAATGTCAAGAAAAGCTTTGATGTAACACACGATGGATGTCACAAAAGACTTGATTTAAAACTTGACACACGTTACATCAAATTAGTGGTCCATTATAGGAATTGTAGGTAGGATTAGCTTCCCTAAAATCTGGCGCACTACAAAAAAAGTAGGTTTTAGCAACGAATTTTGCCACGAAAAAAGTAAAAAAATTCGTCGCTAAACGAATTTGCGATGAAAAAAATTTCGTCTCCAGTTCGGCGTTGCAAAATTTAGCGACGAAATATATTCGTGACAAAATTCGTCGCTAATTATTCGTCGCAAAATTCATCCCTAATTATTCATGGCTAATTATTCGTGGCAAAATTCGTCGCTAATTATTCATCCCTAATTGTTCGTGACAAAATTCATCGCTAAATTTGTTTTCCAAGAACATCAATTCACATGATCAAACCCATGAATACTGAAAAGCACCAAAATTTGCAAGAAAGTCAAAGAAAGCGAAGCAAACCCACATTCCATTAATGCCCAAAGATGTACATCTACATAACAACGATTCAAAGTCTCCATAATCAAGCCTACAACCAAACACCCTCCAACATGACAAAGATCTAAACCCTTTCCCCTTTATAACTAAGCCCTCTCTCCCCGGATCCTCCTGGCGAGCTGGATGTCCTTGGCTATGATCGTGACCCGCTTGACGTGGATGGCGTACAGGTTAGTGTCCTCGAACAGCCCGACGAGGTACGCCTCCGCCGCCTCCTGGAGGGCAGCGACGGCGCTGCTCTGGAACCGAAGGTCGGTCTTGAAGTCCTGGGCGATCTCCCGCACCAGCCGCTGGAAGGGTAGCTTCCGGATCAGCAGCTCCGTGCTCTTCTGGTACTTCCGTATCTCCCTCACCGCCACCGTCCCGGGCCTGAACCTGTGCGGCTTCTTCACCCCGCCGGTCACTAGGACCGACTTCCGGGCCACCTTGGTGGCCAGATGCTTTCGCGAGGCCTTGCCGCCGGTGGACTTCCGGGCCGTCTGCTTTGTGCGGGCCATGCCGATCAGCAAGTTTTCCTTCTTCCATTTTCTCTGGGTATTGAATTTTCTCGGGAAAATTGAGAGAGAAAGCGGGTTGAATCTGGTGGTTTTTTGCGAGCGGAGGAGGAAGATATATAAAGGAGGAAGTAAGAAGAAGAGAGCGAAGCGGGAGAGGGAAAAAGTTTTGGGATTTTGAAAATGTTTTCGGAGGAGAGGGGAGGAGATCCGGCCGTTGGATTGCGGGTGGATTGGACAGGCGAGATTCGTTCGTGGTTGGAGTCACGCGGATTGCGATCCGCGAGGACGGTGGAAAGCCCAATGGGGGATGCGCCTGGATGGAAGCGTCGCGCGGGATGTGGGCGTGTTTTTTTTTTTGGTTCGAAGCGGGATTTTTCTTTTGGGGTGTGGAATTTTTGACCGGCCAAATTTAATTTTCTTTTGACAAATATTTTTGGAAGGGTTAACCTCTCTCTTCAATAAAGGGGAAAATTTGAAAATTATTCGGCATTAAACGATGAAGAGAATATTAAATTTTTTTATTGCAAGAGAAATGCTATGTCGAAAAACTCCACAACATCTTTTAAGATAATTTAAAAAAAATTAAAGAACGAGAGATAGAGGAATTGAGTTTGCCGCATCGACGGTACCGTGTCCCTTAAGGGCAGGGCATGGGCATCCGCCATGACTAGCCATTGTCTGGAGCGGATTCGCCATCGGTCACCATCGAGGGAGAGGGAGGGCGGGACGCGAGATGGTGGGGGGTCGAGCGACCCTAGTTATGGTCTGACGCAGTCACCACAACTCTTGTTAATTAGGTAGCACTGCCCTCGTCGACAACGACTTGCGAGTTTTACAAAATTGGCGTAGCGATGCTTCCGATAAGGTTCAGATCGATTTTGGCTCACGTACGTCGGACGTATATTGATAAGTTTAATGCTCTTCCGAATTCCCTTCCCTTCAATGATGGTAAGCATTAGCTGATTCAATCACCTAGGGGTTCCCGGTCCAGTCCGATCCAGTCCAAGAATCGGGAATCGGACTGGGAGGACAATTTCTAGGACCGGGGACCAGACCAGCTAGTCTTGAGACCGTGGACCGGACCGAACCGAACCATCGATCCGATCCAGTTCCAATGGGACCAATCACTTATTGATAAAGGCAATAAGGAATTGGGAAAATTAGATTAGGCTTTCTATTTTTTTCAAAAATTTTAAAAAGTAAATAAATATATATATGAAAAAATTAGAAATATATATTTATCGGTCCGATCCAGTTCCCACCCTAAAACCGGGAACCAGACAACCCGGAAATCGGTTCCACTTTTATGAACCGGGAACCGGACCGATATTCCCGAGAACCGGACCAAATTGGTCAATCCGGTCCGGTCCCGGTTTGGATAGTCCAACTTGCTCACCCTTACAACCACCTACTGTTTTTCTAGGTGTAGGAATGGATGGTAGCAATGGCTAATGAATGGATTTGGACAAACATTAGTAGGTGAAAGAACATTTTCTTATGTACACTTTAGTATTCATTTTGGTCATGTCATCAATTACTCAATATAACTTGGTCGTGTTCTCTTAGGGTGGCACTCATTAGGGATGAAAGCGGGAAAGATTTGGGTTCCCGTTAATTTTCTTTTATTATCCATCTCCAACCTGTTATGAGTTTTTGATGTTATATCACAAACCCGTCTAGGATTCTCATCGGGTATCCGCAATCTTTTCATTCTATTTTATAATAAAACGATAATCTTATGTTCAATATATAACGAGCAATCTTAAATTTGCAAACACGACTATCTATTCAAAACTCGTGCATTGTAAAGATTTAATTAAACAGCTACAAAATCTCAAGATATAAGATTGAAAGCTTAAGATCCACAATCATAAAAATCGGCAAAAGTACACTATAAGTGCCATAACTTGTGTACGGCGATCACTTTGGTGCCATAACCTTTTTTCGAATCACTTTGGTGCCAAGTCGGAGGAAAATAGATCACTTAAGTGACTCCGGCCAAAATTCCGGCCAAAAAGCTGACCTGGCATTTATATTAAAAAAAATGGTCTGACTTGTAAACGTGGAAATTATGTGGCTTTTTTTCGAATTTTTTAATTTTTAGAAAAATAATAATAATTACAAAAAAAAAAGGCTGCAGAAGCGGCGAGGGAGCCCTCGCCACTGCTGCCGCCAACCCACCACCGCCTGGAAGAGCCGGCTGTGGTGGGCGCAGTGGTTGGCGAGGGTCACCGGCCCCTAGCCGAGGCCCGGCGACCCTCGCCTCGCCCAGCAAGGGCCAGATCCGGCGAGGCGAGACCTCACCTCGCCGTCGCGACCCAGCCGACGACGTGGTCTAGCCTCGCCGTCGCGACCCAGCCGACGTCGAGGTCTAGCCTCGCCGTCGCGACCTAGGCGACGGCGAGGTCCGGCCTCGCCTTTGCTTCGGGCGAGGCGAGACCTCGCCGTCGCCCGGGTCGCGACGGCGAGGTCCGTCCCTGTCCGCGAAGGCGAGGCCGACCTCGCCGCCGCGCGACGGCGAGGTCGGCCTCGCTTCGCCGGGCGAGGTCTCGCCTCGCTGGATCCAAGCCCTCTCTTGGCGAGGCGAGGGTCGCCGGGCCCCGACCAGGGGCCGGTGACCCTCGCCGACCACTGCGCCCACCACCGCCGGGCCTTCCCGGCGGTGGTGGGTTGGCGGCAGTAGCGGCAAGGGCTCCCTCGCCGCTGCTGTAGCCTTTTTTTTTTTTAAATTATTTTTTAATATAATATAATTTTTTTAAAAAAAATGTACACGTCAGCGGGCTAAACAACGTCGTTTTTGGTTTTTAATGCTGACTGGACCTCTTCGGCGAGCCGTGTCAGCGCCACATCGGATTTCCGGCGAGCCACGTCAGCATTGGCACTAAAATGATCGTTTTTCAAAAAAGTTGGCACAAAAGTGATCCGAAAAAAAGTTATGGCACCAAAGTGATCGCTGTACACAAGTTATGACACTTATAGTGTACTTTTGCCCATAAAAATCTATGATCCAACAACTAATAATTAGAAGTTAGGCACGAATGGTGGCTGTCGTTGAAAAATGTTGTTTTGCACTAAAATTTGTCTCCAGCATTCACAAATTTGTATAAGTAACCTTAAGAGTTTTAATTTGAGTAATTTTTTTTTCGTCGCAAATTAGCAACAAATTTAATTTTCATCGCAAATTCATTAGCGACGAAATTTTTTTCGTCGCAAATTAGGGACGAACTTAATTTTCGTCGCAAATTCATTAGCGACAAATTTTTTTTTCATCTCAAATTAGCGACAAATTTAATTTTCATCGTAAATTCCGTCGCTAATTTGCAACGAATTTAATTTTCGTCGCAAATTAGCAACGAATTTTATTTCGTCGCAAATTAGAGACGAATTTCATTTTCGTCGCAAATTCCGTCGCTAATTTGCGACGAATTTTTTTTTCATCGCAAATTAGCGACGAATTTAATTTTCGTCGCAAATTTATTAACGACGAATTTTTTTTTCGTCGCAAATTAGCGACGAATTTAATTTTCGTCTGTAAATTCCGTCGCTAATTTGCAATGAATTTTTTTTTCGTCGCAAATTAGTGACGAATTTAATTTTCATCGCAAATTCATTAGCGACAAATTATTTTGTCGTCGCAAATTCCGTCGCTAATTTGTGACGAATTTTTTCATTGCAAATTAGCTACGAATTTTTTTTTCGTCGCAAATTAGCGACGAATTTTTTTTTCGTCGCAAATTAGCGACGAATTTTTTTTTCGTCGCAAATTAACGGCGAAATTAATTTTCGTCGCTAATTTGCGACAAATTTTTTTTTCGTCGCAAATTAGAGATGAATTTAAATTCCGTCGCTAATTTGCGACGAATTTTTTTTTCATCGCAAATTAGCGACGAATTTAATTTTTGTCGCAAATTCCGTCGCTAATTTGCGACGAATTTTTTTTCGTCACAAATTAGTGACGAATTTAATTTTCGTCGCAAATTCATTAGCGACAAATTATTTTTTCGTCGCAAATTAGCGACGAATTTACTTTTCGTCGAAAATTTCGTTGCTAATTTGCGACGAATTTTTTTTTCGTCGCAATTAGTGACGAATTTAATTTTCGTCGCAAATTCATTAGCGACGAATTTTTTTTTCATCGCAAATTAGTGACGAATTTAATTTTCGTCGCAAATTCATTAGCAACGAATTATTTTTTCGTCGCAAATTAGCGGCGAATTTAATTTTCGTTGCAAATTCATTAGCGACAAATTTTTTTTTCGTCGCTAATTTGCGATAAATTTATTTTTCATCGCAAATTAGCGACGAATAATTTTTCGTCGCAAATTAGTGACGAATTTAGTTTTCATCGCAAATTCCATCGCAAATTAGCGACGAATAATTTTTTGTCGCTAATTTTCCGTGGCTAAATCCTTGTTTTTTTGTAGTGGCGGATGAGATTGATTAGACTCTATAAGAGGAAGCAACCTTTTTGCCAGAGATAGGCTTGTTGAAGGCCACTTCATGGTTTTAGGGCGTACATTTTCATGAACAACTTGTCCATGATTAGTGCAATGTTTATGCAAGCGACAGCAGTGTACATCTACATTGCCATAGGTGAAATCCATCAATGTGTTTGACAATAACACATTTGAACAACCAGAGACTCTGTAGGCATCTCTCCAAGCTAGTAAATGGTTAGATTGCCCCAGTAATATTTATCCTTTAGAATACCTGTGGCCATTTGCTAACTTGGAGATGATAACCATTCTGGTTACCACAGAATGTCTTCAAATACCTGTGCCATCCACTTTAAGAAAAATTTAAATTTTTTTAGGTGCCGAAAAAAATAAAAAAAATTGAAAACTTCACAGAATTGCTTAGAATACCTGTGGCCACCCACTTTGATCAAAATTTAATTTTTTTTAGTTGCCGAAAAAAAAATAAGCAAAAATAAAAAAATTTCAAAACTTCACAGAATGTCTTAGAATACCTGTGGCCACCAACTTTGAATGAAATTTTATTTTTTTTAGGTGCCGAAAAAAAGGAAAAAAAGCAAAAAATAAAAAATCTCAAAACTTCACAGAATGGTTTAGAATACATGTGGCCATCCACTTTGAGTAAAATTTAATTTTCTTTAGGTGCCGAAAAAAATTTAAAAATCAAAAAAATCAAAAATACCATTTGGGCACCTAAAAAAAATTAAATTTCACTCAAAGTGGGTGGCTAGAGGCATTCTAAGTCATTCTGTGAAGTTTTAAAATTTTTGATTTTTTTATGTTTTTATTTTTTTTCGGCACCTAAAAAAATTTAAATTTCACTCAAAGTGGGTGGCCACAGATATTCTAAGTCATTCTGTGAAGTTTTGAAATTTTTGATTTTTTGCTTTTTTTTCACCTC